ACACTGCTATGTACCTGAGAGAAAACTGATTTTCACCAGTAAGAAAAAAGTGTTTTTTAAAGCTTGTTGTTTTGCAGAACATCACAGTTATATATGACATGAGAATAAGGCCTGAAGTTAGGAAGAACATTTTAAGGAAAATATAATTATATTTTCATCATTTTTTTCTTCTCAAACCTTGTCTGTGGTGTAGAAACACCCCTGGCCAAATGCCCCCAGAGGGCATCACTTCCCACTTTGATAATTACTGTATCCGCCGCATCCCAGTTCCGTGTTCGGAAAGGAAATGAAGTGTACTAAAGAAACCCTAAAGGGAATAAATAGCCTATGAGATGGGAGGATAGATGAACAATATTTCAATACTTTTTCTCGCAATTATATCGTTGGGTAAGTATTAGTGGCTCCGTAGAACGCGTTATTTGTTTCACGCTTCGGGCACACCCCTAACCCCGCCCCGCCCCCCTATGTCATCGTCCATCACGATGTTTCACTGCAGATATCGTCCAATGCCAATTTGGTAGACATCGCCCAACCCTACTGCAGTCGGATCATTCTAATTCGTGAATGAATCGTTTGGTGCGATTTGCGAACCGATTTAAAAGGTTCATTGAAAAAAATCAGTTCGTTCATTAATCAGACACCGTTTCTGCGTGTCAGAGCACGTGATATTCAATGCTTTTTTAAACTCTACATCTACGAAATGATGAATAATGTGTATTGTGTTTTTGCTTTTGTCTGTTTTCATTCAATTTATGAAGGTGATGTAAACTGAATTATATTGTAATGATTATGATTCGACAGATGGTGCGTGATTGTTAATTATACAATAATATAATATTTTGTATATGTAACTTATATCATTTTTATATTACATTACAAAAAATAATCATTTTATTCATTTCAAGAAAGCTCAGGGCTTAAAGAAAATTTCCACTCATAACAATGACTTTGTGGTGGCGTTCATGTGCGTTCATCTCGTAAATACGATCTATCCGACATGACTTGAACGCGCACCATACCTGTCTGTCAGCATATGTATTTGCATACCTCTGCGCACCCGGTTCACGCAGACCGGATACGTCATCAGCGCGTTCACATACAGTACGCTATGCAGACAGAGCGAGAATGGCAGACAAACATCAACAACCTGATCTTCCTTCCTGGTATTGTAGTACTGTTACTAACTAACTGTACTATGAAGTTATCTCACCGGTCAATGACACATGATATATTGTAGTAATGTCGTCTCATCTGTTCGCGTTCATGCGTTCAGGGGGCGTGGCTTTGAAAGGTGATTTGCAGGGAGGGTGGGACGTACGCATTCAGTGCAATCAGGCTAAAGTTAGCATTTTCCAAGATCCCCTACTGCACCTTTAAGTAGCACCACCTGTTTCGTTTCAGTGTGTACAGGCTGTTAAGAGCTGAAATGACAAAAAAGCTCCTCTGACTCTCTAAAGAACAACAGATATCATTTGAAGGTACAGAATGAAATTCAGAAATCTCCTGACTGATGATTTTACATTTAACTTATTGGGCCATCGTAAAAATTATAATAATATAAAATATCAATAAATTTAATAAGCATGTTCCAATAATCTCAATAACTTTTAATAAATATTACTGAACTAATATTTATCTCCAGTTGTCTGCAGTTGGGTATAATTAATGAGGTATAAATTTAGCTTTATGCATAAATAATTTTGTAAGAATATAATTGATATAATCAGTGTTAATTTATATAATTTATATTTATGTTCTACAAAATACTTCAAAATAATAAATGTTTACTTTCTTACAAATGCTGTACAGGCTGTTAAGAGCTGAAATGACAAAAAAAGCTACTCTGACTCTCTAAAGAACAACAAACGTCATTTGAAGGTACAGAGAGAAATTCAGAAATCTCCTGACTCTGATGATTTTACATTTAACTTATTGGGCCATCGTAAAAATTATAATAATATAAAATATCAATAAATTTAATAAGCATGTTCCAATAATCTCAATAACTTTTCAGAAATACGTTAAGCTAGATGTCATAAAGATGGCGCCGACGCTGATGGCTGCCTCCGTGGCGTGCTCCGCAGTTGTTTTTATGTTTTTGTTAGTTTGTCCTGTCTTTAGTTATATCCCTGCAATCAGTTTCACCAGAGACGAATTGCTGGACATTCGGAAGTACACACCACCCGATATTTCACCGGTTTTTGATTATTCTGATGTTTTGCTGGACATTGTAGTCAGGGGAGCTGTGGCGCTGATCAAGCGCTTCAGGACGCGCAGACAGGGGAAGCGAGCCGGCGCGCTCGTGAAGCTAAGGCAGCGCGGAGCTAAATGACTAAATGTAAATGTATAAATATTACTGAACTAATATTTATCTGCAGTTGGGTATAAATAAAAAGGTATACATTTATCTTTATGCATAAAGAATTTTGTAAGAATTAATATGATTTATATAATCACTATTTAATCAGTGTGAATGTATGTAATTTATATTTATATTCTACAAAATACTTCCAAATAATAAATGTTTACTTTCTTACAAATGCACATCAATTAAGACAATAATTTGGGTCAAAATGTAAAGACGCGTTCTGTGTGAATGTCCCCCAATGCTACAATGACAAAGTCGTGTAGTGAATTTGCTTTCGCCAACCTAGGGAGGCGAAATAGTGTAGTGATGGCTACTCACAACACCAATGACGTTATGATATCTCATGTCACTTAAGGTGTGGTTATGAGTACATCACATAAGAAAGATTGGTGGGATCTCTAACTTGTAGAACCTCTTTCTGTATCATCAACAGTAGGAAGACACAAGTGTAATAAAATAGACTTTATTAACAAAAGATAGACAAGAGTAATCAACAACTACTAAATGAATACCATGAATGAAAAAGAAATAAAGTGCATAAGATGCATAAAATGCAAGTGATTATGTTCGGTACTGCTATGTCAGAGCTACATTATCTGGAAAGATAAACTGTTGCTACTATGAAAGAAATAAGGTGAAGAACCTTATTATGCATCAAACAAATACGGGAAAGATTATTTGTTATCAACTGTCAGCTATATGATATCTAATGTAAATTAGAAAAGTCATATACTGATAATATACAACAATGCCAAGGTCTCTGGAGGTTTGGATAAGTGATATTTACGTTCTCTGTGGTCGAGTGAGCAGTCCGGTGGCGGAGACTTCATACACTGGTTGTGCTGGTAACAACACAGTGGGGAAAGGAGCAGGAATCTGTTTCGACAGCCTTGAACACGAAGCGCTGGAGGATGCTGATCTCCTGGAGCACCAAAGGGTCCTAAAATCTGGAACACGCAGATGTGGCCCTGGAGTAGGTGCAGAAGGTCCTTGCCTGGAACACGCAAGCAAAGGTACCTTGAAGTGAAGGTTTGCTCGCCGGAGCTTAACCTTGTTGCAGATGTCTGTGTGTCTTCTGCCTCTCTGGGCTAGAGACTCAGAACTTGGTCGATCCACTTTGTCTCTCTAGGATGGAGACTCAGGACGTGCTGCATCTGTTGTTGTCTCGCTGGACGAAGACTCTAAACGTAGAATATCTCTCTCCTCACAGGCTGGAGGCTCAGAACATGGTCGTATCTGTTGCTGCTTCACAAGCTGGAGACTCAGGACTTGGTATCTGTTATTGCTTCTTCCCGCATGGGCCAGAGGCTCAAAGCGTTGCTGTTTCTGTCTCTCGGGATGGGAGACTCAGAACAAGTCTATCTGCTAGTGTCTCACCCTTGCAGGCCGGAGACTCAGAACGGTTGTGTCTGGCATTGCCTATTCCCTCACGGGACTCAGACTCAGTACTTCTGTGTTTCTGTTACTGTCTTCCCTGGAAACAGTCCGGAGACTCAGAACTTGTTGATCTGTTAGTGTCCCTTCCTACGCAGGACTCAGACTCAGAACGGAGGTATCGGTTGCCGTCTCCCTTGTAGTGGGCCGCAGGCTCCGAACGGTTGTGTCTGTTGCTGCCTTCCCTGATACAGGCCAGAGACTCAGAATGGGTTGTGTTTTGTCTCTCTCCATAGAGGACTGAGACTCAGAACTTGTTGATCCGTTAGTGTCCCTTCCCCTTTGGGACTCAAGACTCAGAACAAGGCGTATCTTTCAGGAAGGTACCTTTATCCCTTTCCGATGAGAAGGAGATTGCAATCTGGTGCTCCTCCATTTTCGTGCTGTGATTGGCTGTTTCCATCGAAGCGGGGGGACACGGTGTGGCCCACCCTTCTTTCCTCCTGTGGAACTTATCTGCATAGTCTAAACACATTTAGGAAAGTGTCACTAAAGTTTTACCAGTGAATTTTTCACTTACCAAACCACAACAAGAATACATTTGGCAATGTTACGAACACATTAAAGGGTTAGTTCACCCAAAAATGAAAATTAGCCCATTAATTACTCACCCTCAAGGCATCCTAGGTGTATATGACTTTCTTCTTTCAGACGAATCCAGTCGGAGTTATATTAAAAATGGTCTTTTATCCTCCAAGCTGTTTAATGGCAGTCAGCGGGTGTTGCAGTGCTTCAGTCCAAAAGAAGTGAAATAAAGAGCATCCATCCGTTTTGAATATGTATATGTTTTTTACAAAAAGCATCGATTCACTACAGGACACGTTTGTTCACCCCCCCTCACTTATATTAAACAAAGAAATTAAAGTTTTATTAACAAAAGTAGCGCTGTTGGATCCGCCATCATATGTCAGTCTTCTCGTGTCACTCTTGTCACATGATCCCCCCCCCGCTTAACATACGTTCCCGTGGTTATGTATAAAGATACTAAATTATTAACTGTAGTTAATAGGGAATTGAGACCACTTCACACTTGCTTTTAGAAGATCTGTGTTGTTGATAACTTAAGGAATCTGTGATTAATCTCTTACAGATCTATGTGACACACTATTATAAAGATGGCATTAATTAAAGTGGAGAGTGAAGACATGAAGTTTGAAGAAACATTCAGAGTCAAACATGAAGATACTGAGGAACAAACAAAGATGGAGTTTATTAAAGAGGAGAGTGAAGACATGAAGATTGAAGAAACATTCAGAGTCAAACAAGAAGATACTGAGACACAAACAGGTTTGTTTTCATTCTCAAAACTGAACTCACTCATTTGATCCTTATTAAAACGTCCAGCTCTACAGAAAGGAATGATATTTTTGAAGAATTTCATGAGTTTTGTTATTAAAAATGTATTTGACATGGAGCGGGTCGCATCGTGTTAGGGTTGCCACCTTCAGCGAGGCAAAATAAGGGACATTATATGCGGTACAAAATACTTATTTATTGATTCAACTTTGGCCTTTGTAAAATACGGGACAAATCGTGTCCCGTATTGGTTTGATACGGGACGCATCATTTTACCTTTAAATACGGGACGATTCCATATTTTAAGGGACGGGTGGCAACCCTACATCGTGTGGACAGACATGTTGAGACCAAGACTATAGAATACCAAAGACGTGTCACTCGTATAGTTTTGAATGGGGAAAAATGCAACGCTCAATATGGCCGCTCAATCGCAGGAAGCTTAGCGAACAGTTTTGCAGAATTTGATGTTTCCCCATTCAAAGAGATAGGAGTTGCACTTGCATGCCCGAGAGGCGTTTCAAAGATGGCCACCGAGTGACATGACTTGTCTTAAAAGGACTTTGGTTGAGATCACATGAACCATTACCATTAAACATACGCAACTAAGATCACACAATAAACTTTGCTCTTTTTTTAGCATCATCACTTTGAATAATGGGAAGAAATTTTAAGATCACATTTAACACCTCCTTTAATAGCTTAGTGCGTATAAGATCTACATGTTGTTGGTTTTGATGTTTGTTCTTTGTGCCATTATAAATTGTGTTAATCTGGATTTGTCTTTTTTGCATTAGACCTGATGACACTGAAAGAGGAGAGTCAAGAACTCAGTGTTCAGCATGAGAAATATGATTTCATGACTGGAGAAAAATCATTTAGATGCTCGCATACTGAAAAGACAGCAAATAGAAGTTATTTCACTTGCCAACAGTGCGGGAAAAGTTTCACCAGAAAAGGAAATCTTGAAGTCCACATGAGAGTTCACACTGGAGAGAAACCTTTCACCTGCCAACAGTGTGGAAAGAGTTTCATTAAAAAACCAAACCTTAAAAACCACACGAGAATTCATACTGGAGAGAAACCTTACACATGCTCTCAATGTGGGAAAAGTTTTAAACATAAACAACACCTCGATGACCACAAGAGAATTCATACTGGAGAGAAGCCTTACACCTGCCAACAATGTGGAAAGAGTTTCACTCACAAAGGAAACCTTGGAGACCACATGAGAGTTCACACTGGAGAGAAGCCTTACACCTGCAAACTGTGTGGAAAGAACTTCATTCGAAAACCAAACCTTAAATACCACATGAGAATTCACAGTGGAGAGAAACCTTTCATATGCTCTCAATGTGGAAAAAGTTTTAAACATAAACAACACCTCGATGACCACATGAGGATTCATACTGGAGAGAAACCTTTCACCTGCCAACAATGTGGAAAGAGCTTCATTCAAAAAGGAAACCTTAACAAACACATGAAGATTCACAAGGGAGAAAGGCCGTTTACATGAGTTTCAGATGTAAAGTAGCTCTTTAACGTGTACAGTCACACTGGTGTGATTATTGTTCAGTCTGTCATGTGATTAACTGTAAAATTCAGATATGCTTTCGTGTTTGGCTGGTGCTGAGCCAGAGATGGACGTCGTGCTCAGTGCTTGTCATATCCCTTATGAAAATTAACCAGCTTTTACTATAGTAAAACTGTAATAACCATGACTGTAGTAACCACAATTTTGTTAAAGCAGCTTGCATTACATTTAACAAAAGTTGTGTAATGAACTTCTACCAAGTAAAAAGGTAACACTTTATTTTAAGGGTCCAGAATAATGCATTAGTTAAGCACGGTTAAAGCATTAATTGAGCTAGTAATTAATTATTTATTTGTTCACAATTATGCATCAGTTAAGCATGAACACACATGTAACTATTGATTATCTGATAGTGGTCCAACAGTACACGTATTCGTACCAAAAATTTTCGGTATGGGTCTTTCGGTTCGGTACGCACGTGTACCGAACAAATCATTCAATTTTTTCAGGAAATTCAGACAATAAATGCCGTTTTGGCACTCTTTGATGAGGCGAGACAGATTGCTGTATAAATGCCTCAGTTCTGACGGCAGCGCGGAGCGCCATCATCCCTTCCTCTCTTTACTTCGTTTTAACGTGAAATAAACATGAATTATCATCTCATGCCTCATGTAATCGTGCAATCAATATTTAACTGAGTGTACAGTAAACACATTTTAGCCATTATTTACAAATTAAGCCATATAATATTTTTTGTAGTGATGTTAATATATTTCTGTGATTCACCATCAATTAGGTTAACTGAACAGAAAGCTAGTAATTATGTTTAATTACTGCGGTTTGCAATTATATATGGCTAAAATAGTGTAACAAAGACTATTTGACCCCCTGTTCTAAGGTTAAATTGCATCTACATTAATTATGGCACTTATTGAGTGATATTCAAGTTTATTGACTAGAATTAGCCAATAATTAAGGCTAAAATGCCATTAATATAGTACTAATTAAGGCAATTTGACCCCCTATTCTAAAGTGTAAGTTATATCCACATTAATTATGGCACTTCTTTAGTGATATTTAAGTTTATTGACCAAAATAAGCCAATAATTATGGCTAAACTGCCTTTAAAGGGTTAGTTCACCCAAAAATGAAAATTTTGTCATTAATTACTCACCCTCATGCCGTTCTAAACCCATAAGACCTCCGTTCATCTTCAGAACACAAATTAAGATATTTTTGATGAATTCTGAGAGCTCTCTGACCCTCCCATAGACAGCAATGTAATTACCATGATCAGCGTCCAGAAACGTAGCACGGAGATCGGTAAAATAATCCATGTGACATCAGGGGTTCAACCGTAATTTTACGAAGCTACAACAATATTTTTGTTTTCTTTGTGTACAAAAAGTAATGACTTTATTCAACAATTCGCCTCCTCCAATTTGCGTCACTCTGATGCCATTTTGTAGAATATCCACTGAACGCAAACAGCGTATGCTATTCTGTGTCAGCTGCGTCACGTGGATACATTGTTTTTGTTCCAATCAAAGCGTAAGCAACGTAGAAAACGTATCCGCGTGGTAATTACATTGCTGTCTATGGGAGGGTCAGAGAGCTCTCAAAATTCATCAAAAATATCTTAATTTGTGTTCCGAAGATGAACGGAGTCTTACTGGTTTAGAACAAAATGAGGGTGAGTAATTAGACTTTTTGAGTCATTTTTGGGTGAACTAACCCTTTAAATGACTCACAGAAGACCATGGGTTTCAGCAAAAAAAAAAATTTTTTTTGTTTAAACGCTGATCTATTGAAGAAAAACAGTCACTTACATCTTGGATGGCCTGAGGGTGAGTAAATGAACAGCAAAATTATCATTTTTGGGTGAACTATCCCTTTAAACTACCCTTATGAAAAATGATTTTTTGCATATTAATTACAATTTTATAGCTACAGTTCTACTACAAATACTATAGTTAAACTGGTTTTTGAAGCAAAACCATGGATAATTTGGGGTTACCATGGTTTAATTACAACAACAACAAAAAAACGTAATTTACTTTTTTTTAATTATTATTATTAATTGTCGTAAGGGTAACTTTACTGCTGTATGTTACCTGACGAACAAGCATGCAGACTGTCGATATTCCAAGGCCAAGCAAACGGGATATGGTCCTGTATTCTCTTGGGGTAGCGTACCACCACAACACAACAGTCGGGGTTCCAGCAGTTTACGCCAGCCGGAAGTCTTTCGTTCCAAAGAGCTGCAGCACATACTCAAACGTATCTCTCGACATGCGAAAGTGTTCCGTCCGCATCTCTTCATTGAAGTTGTTCAAAACACTTTCCCATGTATTTGCGGAATTGCCCATGTCCATTGCACAGACCTCTGTGTAGCCATATGTGTAAACATAACTGTTTTTTTAGCTGCAGAAAGCGCCTCTGCCTTTGGATGCTAGCGACAACATTTTTTCTCCTATAGTTCAATATTTTGGTTTGTAGTCGTCTACTACGATGTCTCTGGGACAAAAGCAGCTGCATGAATGCGAAAGTTTTAAAAAATAAAAATAAAACCATCAATAAAAAGACTGACTGCATATACCTCTCCATGCTTACAGGAAACATATTGTGTGAAAGGTGCTTATATCAGCAGCTATCAATAGTTTATATTCATCATTCAAAAGGAGAAACTGAAACAAGGATATACGACATATACACAGATATTTGAAACGTAAACAAAGCAGTGCTTGCTCACCATTTTGAATATCAGTTATGTTGATAACTTTCTTAATTTTAAGCAGCTCACGTTGTTATGAAAATATTCATATACTGGGATGCTTGGGTAAGATCACGTAACATTAGAACAGTCTTCTGTTTGTGCCGCCTTCATTTACTTACTAGTTTTCAGCACTTTAGCTTGAATTCTTGAGCACTGATTTGTTCGCTAAACTGAACATCCAATCAGAGTTCTCACTCGCACCGATAGCGAGTGCGTCCCGGCCATAAAGGAGGCATGTACTCAAGACAATGGGGCGGACGACCTGCACCTGGGCATGATTCATAATATCAAATCAGGATCAGGTAAGAGCACAGAAGACAATGAGGTAGAAGATGAACAACAGAACGTGTAATTACAGAGTATAGTTCATGTCAGAGTCAGAGGAAGCAGTCACAGATGCTGATGAAGTATCAGACAAAAATAAGGCAGAAAATGAACAACAGAGCATACCATTACAGAGAGGAGCCCAACCTGAAGATGGAAAATCAGGGAACAAAAAACAATGGAGAAATTTGCCAGTGTTTTCAAAAAGGTTCACAATTACAGTGAACAGAAAGAAATGGCAAACAATTGTTCACCTGCACAGGTGAGCAAAACTGAGGCAAACGTTGGCCCATGTATTGTACAACAATTTCTGAGAGAAACTGTTGCCTTCACAAGTCAGTATATTAAAACTCCTCACAACTGCAAAATTAATAGTCCATCTTTAAATATTAGTGCAGTTTGTGCATTTCCTTTCTGCAGTGCACAAAATACTTTTTTTTAAAGGAAAAGGGAGCCAGTGGGAGATACCCCGGTTAAGATCTCTGTGCAGCAAAGAGGAAAAATTGCGCACAAAAAAGTAAATGAAAATTCAGACCAGCATCAAACATAAGACAATGGAGAATAGGCCTATTTCACAATATGGCGGCCGAGAACGGAAGTAGGGAAGCGTTACTTCCGGTCGCGCCGCCGCCTGTTACGATCGTCATTCATTCATACATTCATTGTCATAATGGAGTGTGAACTCGTTTTCTCCCAATCATTAATAAATTTGCCAACAATAAGAATAGCAGATGTTGTCCGTTTTGTTGATAGTTTTCAGGGAGATGTGAGGCAATCAAAATTGGACAAGGGTTATAAATTCTTTTTTGAGCAATTCATTTTTGATTATCAAGGTATGTATTATGTTAGACAGCTGCCATGATAGCTAATTTCTGAATGATCAATGTTGTTTTAATGAATGAATTTAAAAGTGGTTTAATAATAATAATAAAAACGTCCCGTTAATAACTGTTTGTGTGTGTGTGTGTTTGGACACTTCAGTCTCAAACATTATTTTAGGGAAAGTGGTAATTAGGGCCAGGTGCTATAGGTCATTAAGAAAGCGTGAAGAACCACATCAGCTTGAGGTAAATACATTCAGGATTTAGCTAATGATTGATTGTGAAGAACCACATCAGCTTGAGGTAAATACATTCAGGATTTAGCTAATGATTGTTTATAATGCATTATATACCCTTTTCTCCAAATACTACTGAAGCCTTATTGAATCACGCCAGTGAAACTGGCCAATGGAGTTCAAGCGCGCGAAATATGAGGGGCTCCCACTCTATATATAAAGCAGCGCTTGTACGTCATCTATTCAGAATCTTGACTGAAGCAACTTGGCGTTCTAAGATCCTGAGCTAGGTGACGGAAATAAGAGCAATGTCTCGTTCACTCATCTCAGGGAACCGAGGTTACATGAGTAACCGAGAGCATTCCCTTTCGATTCGGTCACTCTACATTGCTATGGGAACGTATAAAATCCCGCCGTGTCACAGCGATGGAGCCTGGCTCGACTAAGTATGTCAAGTTTCACATACGGAACCGTAATGAGAGCGGCAATGATATTGGCGCTCTTGTTAAACACAGCTCAGGTCTACAGGACCTAGTCGAAACCATGTAAAAGTATGATAGTTCAGGATGCGCATTCCGCTCTGCTTCAGAGGAGAGAAAGCAGCATCCATGCACTTCGTAAACGTACGAGGGGCCAGGGATAGACCGAAGGGTAGGACCGTGAATTGATACGCTATCCCCTCGAATGCAAATCTCAGGAGCGCCTGTGGCGGGGGGGTGCGCGCAGCGGGGAGTAAGCATCCTTTAAATCCACGGAGATAAACCAATCTCCCGGTCTGATGTGTGAGAGGATTTGCTTTAGTGTAATCATTTTGAACGAGCGCTTCGAAAGCGCGCGATTCAGCGGTCTCAAATCCAAGATAGGGCGGAGTCCGCCGTCTTTCTTTGGCACCAGAAAATATCGACTGTAGAAGCAGCTCTCGCGCTTTGCAAGGGGCACTGTCTCTACTGTGCGTTTTGCGAGAAGATTGTGTATTTCCTCTCGCAGAACTGAGTCATTCTGCTCCCGTACAGTGGACATTAACACACCGTTGAAACGGGGC